ATTTACAGGTATTCAATTTAGAAGACAAACTTGAGAATCAGTCTATTAAAGTATGAGTAACAAAATAAAAAAGAGAAAGCTAAAGTACAGATTCCCATTAATGTGGCTGGCCTCCTAAGTGTGAGGAAAGCTTGCCCTCCCTAGTGTAAGCTCTCAGTCTGTCCTCGGTGGCCAAGGAGGTTAAAAGCAATCTCCACACTATCTGTTTCTCTGGAACTTCGAACTTAAGTCTATGTTCAATGTACAGTTAAGAATCTTTTTGCAATATTTTTTGTATAACAAAATTTATTATGCTTATTTCTCCCATACATTTATTAAATGAAAAAGGCACAAAAGTATGTGGTTAAGTAGCATACTACCATTTATCTGCAAGTCAAGAGGCTTAAAAAATATAGACATATTTGCTCAGATTTTTAAAAATCAAAGTATAAAAGTTTTTTAAGTGGTTACTCACAGAGAAAGAGAATGCTCAGTGTAGAAGGGCCAGGAATGTGATCTTGACTTCTCTGAAAACACCTAATTTTATAGACTTGACTTAGAAATATGTAATTGCTTTAGATGTTTTATATCATTATAAGGCAAAATTAAATCCTAATTTTTAAGAATTAAATCCTTAAAAGCAAAAGCAAATAAAAAAATCTAATCATGTCTCAAGTTGGCTTAACCACATAAAAAGCTGTTTGAAATGATTTTAAAACACTGACTATATTTAGGGTTTATACTAAAGACCAAAAAAAAAGTGTTTTCAGCAATAACATGAATCTTTTTAGTAAGAATATTGGCATTATAATTCTGAAATATGTGCATATAGCAAACTCTTGTTATTAATAAACATACTAGTATAGAAACAGATAGATGATGTGTGCTGTGCATGTACACAAGTATACAGCTATATTATACATGGGAAGGATAGGTTTTGAAAACAAAGCACTTTGGAGAAGTACCTCATTCCAAGTTTGGGGCAGAAAACAAGTAAGGTGAGCCTAGAACACCTTTATCTTATGAGAAACCAGAAAAGGCTATTAACTGTCATCAGGACCAGCTCTTCTTAGTGCAGAAGTTGTACAGAATATAAATGCCACCATACAAAGCAAAATGCAAGAGGGGCTGTGGAGGTAGCAGGGGTCAACACTTGCCTGGCACACAGGAGGCATAGGTTCAATCTCCTGCTCCCAGCTCTGCAAAAACAAAAATCAAAGGAGAATGAATAAAAAGCAAAATAGCAAAATGTTTAGCCTTTTGCTTTTGGTGTCTCCAGTGTCTCCTTGCTCTTTCCCTCTGGCAAGTCACCTTGGAATTACACAGGATTAAAGCCTGACCCTAGAACACATCACTTTCTCTCCATCAGGACCTCACTCTTCACATTGCCAAAGATTTCTGCCTCCCTACAGCCACTCCAAACTCAGTGCACACTCCTCAGTCCATAAAGCTCCTACCAGTTGTTGCCTCCAGCTTTTCCTCCTTCCCCAATCTTATCCATCTCTAAGGAATTCATTCTTCCAGGACTTTCAAGCCTGCAGTCAGCAGCCTCATGGGTTTCCAAGTCTTATGCTGGTTCTCCCAGCACCTGGTTTCCCACCTGCACACTCCTTTACCTTCAACCCCTCCTGCCTCTCCAAGTCCTCAGACCCTAACTGGCATTCTTCTCATCTAGGCTTGACCCAGCACCCCACCAACCCTCTTCTCCTCAACAGAACCTAACTCACCACCCCTCCTAAGGGAAGCTTAGTTTCAAGAAAATAAAAGACAAAGCCTTCTCCCTGGAGTTGAGGGTAAGCAACACAGCAAGAACCCATTTCAAGCCAGACACTGGTGGCTCATGCCTAGTTACTCAGGAGGCAGAGATCAGGAGGATCAAGGTTCGAAGACAGCCCAGGCAAATAGTTCACACAACCCTATCTCAAAAACATCCTTCACAAAAATAGGACTGCTGGAGTAGCTCAAGGTGTAGGCCCTGAGTTCAAGCCCAAGCACCGCAAAAAAAAAAGCCCATTTAAAAAAAAAAAAAAACATAAACTCAATGCCCAATGAGAAAAAATGTTTTCTTCCCTTCATTCAATTTTTCATTTTAGTTCCTTCAGCAGACTAAATCCTTTAAAGATAAGATATCACAACCAACTGTTTCAGTCAGTTACTTTTAAGGAAAACCACATTAGTTCTATAAGCATCAAGTTTTCTAAATAGCAGGTTGGGGTGTAGCTCAATAGAAGAGTAAGTGCCTCACTTGTACAAAGCCCTGGAATCACAATCCCCTCCTGAACACACAAAAATTCCAAATAAGCATTCATTTATACTAACTCAAAGCTTTCTCATTACATATCTAATAGTTAAAACTTGTTCACAAGGTCTCAAGAGTTCATGAAACCAAAAACATGATTTTTTTTTTTTGATCCATAGTATACCAGTTGTATGACTTCATCTTCATCCTCTCCCAAGTTCAGTGTGTATAAATAGGGCTACTCAGTTACACAGCAAACTTTCTCTGTAAAGTGCCACGTTGTAAATACTTTTGTTTTGTGGTCCATGTTGCCATACTGTCACATGCTTTTTTTTTTTTTCCTCCAAAAAATTTAAAATGTAAAAATAGCCAGGTATGGTGGGTCATGTCTGTAATCCCAGTTACTCAGGAAGTAGGGAAGAGAAGGATAGAAGTTACAGGTCAGCCAGCCCAGTGAACCTACTTCTGGCCTGTAATCCCAGCTTTGTGGGAGGGAGTTCACATAGGAGGGTTGTAGTCTCAGGACAAAAAGTGAGACTAACAAATGACCTAAAGCAAAAAGGACTTGGAGGTGTGTCCCAAGCGGAAGAACAGGAGCCTAGTAGTAAGCCAATGGCCCAAGTTCCAACCCCAGTGCCACCAAGAGAAAGGTAAAATGGGCTAGGCATGGTGGCCTTGCATGCCCAAAATCCCAGCTACTTCAGATGTGGAGGTAGCAGGATCACAGTTTGAGGCCAGTCCCAGTAGTGAGCGAAAGGCCAATCTGGAAAACAAACTAAAAACAAGAACTGGGTGGGGACTGGATCAAGTGGTAAGAGCACTTGCCTAGCAAGTACAAGTTCAATTCTCAGTAGTGAAAAATAAATAAATAAATAAAGGTAAAAACAAGAACGGAACATAGGCTTGCTCTAGGATCTGTCTTGAAGGCTGTAGCTGTCAATCCCTGGTCAAGAATTGGGTTTGTAAGAGCTTTATCTGAGACAAGGTCTTGCTATCAGCCTAAACTAACTTCGGCCTCTGGAGGGCTGTACCTTTTGTGTCTAGTTCTCAGGCTTGGAATGGGCCTCAAGGCACAGCATATATTTAGGAAACATTTGAATGGTTGATAAAAGCAGCCAAGTATTGCGAAATCACTGTAGGCCTTGAGTCTACAAGTGATAAAGGGAAAGAAAACGTTGTGAAATTTCACGAGCACAGGCTGAGCTCTGCCTTACTTCATTTCCTGACAACTACTAGTCATACCATCAGACCTCCAGAAACTGGCATCAGAAGGGAAACTTGTGGAAAAGGCAGAATGGCTTTTCAAATACAAGAAAAAAAATTTAGATTAAGTCCAGTAAGATTAAATATTAAAAAACAAAGCAGACAAGTAGAACAAAATGTTTTATTATTAAAATAAAAACTTTGTATAAAAGCATTGCAGACCAAAAGCTATATATTTACACTTAGTAATTCGAGGTCAATAAATCTTCAAACACTGAGTGGGCCAGCAAAAGGCTACACATGCAAGAAAATTGGACACACAAACACTCAAGAACCCCATCTTCAGCCAAGCAATGTGACTAAGATAAAAAGGGAGGGGAGGATATCCCACAAATTCTGCCCAGAAACTGAACTGAGGGAGATGCACAATGGTTCAACATTATCCATCTCCAAAGGCACTTCTTTAAAAAGTGGCTTAAAACCTAAACATAAACCTCTACATAGCAACCCCACGGGTAATTTCTTCAGGAAACAGCCAAGAATCATAGACTACTTATTAATATCAAAGTTGTAAGTTTTACACCAGTAATTCAAATCGGCCTATTCCTGAGTGCCACCACCCTCATTTTCTCAGAATGTATTTTATACAGTAATTTTAAGTTAACAGGGTCCAATGTTGCCCACAAACCTCTGGGTGACTGTGTAACTTGATGTGCCACCTAAACTCAAGGTGGAAGAAATCAGCAGTGCTTCAATTTTGACAACTTGTATGCCAAGAATAAAACACAGCCTGAGCTGAGTGATGGTGGCTCATGCCTGTAATCGTAGCTACTTGAGAAGGCTGAAATTGGGAGGATGGCAGTTTGGTTCAAAGTCAGTCCAGACAAATAGTTCGTGAGACCCCATCTCCGAAATAATCACAGCAAAAGAGACTGGAGGTGCAGCTTAAGTGGTAGAATGCCTGCTTTGCAAGCATGAAGCCCTGAGTTCAAACCCCAGTTCCACCAAAACAAAACAAAACAAAAAACCCACAGCATGATCTCATGGGAGGCATTCAAAGCAATACTTAGCTTTTTCACATGATTTTAAGACTTCTGTGACTTGATTCTGTTTAAGTCAACTAGGGTGAACTTGTGGAACCAAATTTTGAGCGCTGTTCTCTGGAATTCAATAGAACAGTTAGTTAACATTACTACTGTGCTTCTAAGTGCTTGGGTTCTTATGGGTATATTCCAGGACTATTTCAACACTAATTAAATCCAATATGCGTTCATGAAACTCATTCAACAATTCGGAAACTAAGCAGTGGGAAAGGACCAGTACAAATAGGAAGGCTAAGTGGTGGGGCCAGAGGAAGCAGAGAAGAAGCTACTGAACGTCCAAGTGTTACTAGCAATATGCCTTCCGTCATATTTCAAAAACAAGTGCAAGTCTAATGAGATTGAGAGCAACCTGATTTGAGTTTCCTATAAAACAGACTGATAGGGCTAGAGGAGTGGTCAAGGAGTAGAGCCCCTGCTTGGCAAGCTTAAAGCCCAGAGTTCAAACCCCAGTACAACCCCCCAAAAATGAAAAAGATTGATCATCAAGATTCTTAACTCAGGTTTCTATGAAGGACAAAATCAAAACTTTACAAGAGAATCTGAGCGGTGGAAGGCAGGCAGTGAATCTTCCCAGCACTACGCTTGCATTTCAAATTCCTGCTTTAGACTGAAAGAGAAAAGGAAATATATCAAGATAGTTTTCAACCAAGAACTCTCTTTAGAAAGTCAAACTCATCTTCTAAAGAATGCTTTTAATTAAGCTGCCATGTACACATGGTCAAGTGCACACACCTTAAGTGTCCAACCTGAGTTTTCCATACATGCCCACTGCTACTACCACCCAGGTGAAGACACCATGTTTCCAGTCACTACCCCCACACTCAGATACCCACAGTTCTGATTTCTATCATCTTTTCATTAAGACACATAAATAAATGTAAGAGTCAGGTGTGAGAGAAAGAAAAACAGCCACCTCACCTTTTTAAGTAGGCATGCACGTTCCCAAAGCCGTGATACTTGGCCAGATATACCAAGACTCCAGTGGCGCACCGCCCATCTCGCTGGCGGCAGAAACTGCAGTTGCAGATCCCTCGACAAGGTGGGCAATGCCAGTTCTGAAGGCAAAGGTGAAAAACAGCATGAAACTCAGCCTCACTTCCCTACTTATCTACTCCTTTTTAGCCTTTAAGGTGGGGGATGCATATCACCAGTTCACCTATTCCTTTTTTCAAATAAAGAAACCATAAACTGATTAATAGGCACTAGTCACACCTACTGTTTCCTTAGGAAATCTGGGAGAGAAAGTCACATAGCAACTACCAGGGAGAAACAATCAACCCCTAACAGTGGGTCTGAGTCCTCAGAGACTCAAACCTGTGCCACGCTAACACTGGATTAATCAACCCCCGCTGAAAAAAGCACCTCTGAACAGTCCTTCCTCAGTGCCCTTCTGGCCTCATCAGCTTAGGATCTCTAGGACCAACCCCATCGTGCTTCAAGGAACCTACTGGATCCAGCAGAGCATCCTTGACCTCTTCACCATAACGGTTTCGAAGGCAGGGACCACAGAACTGGCCTCGAACACCCCAGCATTCCGGGTTTCTGCAGTTTGTTTTGGTATCAATAGTTTTCTGGCGGCACTGATGACAAGTAGATCCCTTTAAAGAAAAAGCACATGAGAAAACAAAAACAGATTAAACAAAAAACCCTACTGCTTTCCATAGAGACGTCTAAACAATGTCCTTGTCCACAAATTCTGCCCCAAGTCCATTTCTGTCTTTAGCCATCCACATATAATAGATAGAGAATAAGTACATGTTGAATGAATCAATTTCCACGTTAAGAAAAAAGACTTCACACTACTGAAGACTCCTATGCAGGTAACTCAAGTGACAGAGGGCTACTGCAAAAGTCTTCTTTCCTTGTATGGGAAAACACGCAGACACACATGCCAGGCGCCAGACCCGTGCAACACTGGAAGCACTCAGCCCGTCCTCTCACCACTGTTGACACTTCCCGCCACGACTTAGGGGCCCTCACCAGTGAACGGTTATAGATCTTCTCTCGAGAGTTACTGCAGATGTTCTCCAACTCTTCCTCTGTGATTTCTTCCACCGGCCGAATTATATGTGGAAGGGCCATAGATCCATGGCGACGACTTCTGGGCATATCATCATCCTGTTTAACAAGAAGCGTGCAACAGAGTCACTTGCTTTCCCAAGCTGTGTTAGACACTTGATTTATAGTTTCTTCACAGAAAATTCAACCTGGAAATCTCTCTTGCTTATGGAGACAGAGGGGACAAGTCCTAAATTTATTGTAAGGATGACTGGATTACCCTATGGAGACACTTCCTGCAATTCAGCAAAACTGAAAACCTGACTCCTGCCCAGCAACAAAACCAAGTAAGTTTACACAACATGAATGGTTTGAGCTACAGGTTTAAGACAGACCATTTGGCATTGAAGCTGTGCGTGCAGGATTCTGGACCTATAGAAGATGAAAAACAACTCACGTTCATGTAGCTGTCCATGACTTTCCTCTTTCTCACCAGTGCATACTTATCGTCTTCCTCCTCCTCTTCCTCCTCTGCAGGTAAAGCGCCCAGGGACCCCAGAACCCGGGACCTTGACCTGGTGAGAGGTCGGGCTCTCCTTTCAGGGTTCCTCCTGGAAGCAGCACCTGGGAATGAACGCCTTGAAGGTGTCTTTGATTTCTGAACAAAACACACAGGATGGAATCCATTTATTACATAACAAAGAGAAGGAGCACTTTGGAAAACCTGATCTGTGCCAAAAAAATTTTCTAGAACACATAAGTTGTTTCAGTATTGCACAAAAGAACATTAGGTTCCTTCTTCCCTTCCTTGCTGGTTTCCACCCTTCTTCCTCACGAAAGTTAGGGTACACAGGCTGTCTTTTGTATCATAGCAGACACACCAAATCTTCCTCTGTTGAACCCCTTGGTCCCTCAGAATACAAGCACATGTACAACCGTCACCATGCCATGACCTGGTACAGAAATTGTGTTTGCCTTCTTTTTCCTCATTCTCAGACTCTAAAAGCATCTATTGTAGCCAGGCATGGTGGCACGCACCTATATTTCCAGCTACTTAGGAGGCAGAGGCAGGAGGTCCACGGTTCAAGGCCAACCCAGGCAAAAATGTGAGGCCCTATCTGAAAAACAAACTAAAAGCAAAAGGTCTAGGGGGTGGCAAGTGGTAGAGCACTTGCTTACCAAGCACAAGGCCCTGAGCTGGTTCAAACCTCAGGACCGCCAAAAACAAAGGACCTATTGTGCATCTACCATGTAGGGGAAGTGTGCTGGTAAAACAAAAACAGGACTTCAGTGGGCCAACCTGCCCCAGATGGGAGGAAGATCATTTAGAAATGTCTGGAGGCTTCCTCTAGCTTCCCTCTGACCCCCAAAAAGACCACACAAATGAGGAACTCATCTTAAAATCTCACAGAAATCTGCCCTTGAGTTTCCCAAAACAATACCATACAAACAAGCAGACACTTACTGATCTGGGCCCAGGAAGGGAGCATCTTCCAGGGAACGAGCCAGGGAAGCTTTCTAGTTCTGACATGAGTTTTGCAAGCTTTTATAAAGGGAAGAAATTAAACAGAAATTATTGGTTTAAAATAACTGCTGAAAATGAGCAACTAACTTGTGGAAACAATGCTAGCACATCTCCAGGCTTTATATTTAATAAGCTGACGACACAGTGAAAGAGTTTCTGAACTCCCCCCTACGCTTGCTTATCCAAGTCTTTTTAACAGATTTTAAAAAGCAAAGTTAGTTTAGGGAAAAAAATATTTTTTTTGGAGGAAGGGCAGTGCTGAAAGATCAAACCAGGACCTCGCACATGCTAAGCAGGCGCTAATCCACTGAGCTACCCCCCCAGTCCCTGGAAACACACACCATGAAAACCTCACAGCTACATGGAAATAATTCTAAGAAAACAGATGTCAACAACAAGCTGCTTGCAGGATAGCTGGTAAAGAGTTCTAGCACATTTAAATACCTACCATTGCTTTGTTCTGCTTTATATTTAAAGCCCTTTTCTCCAGAAAGTTCATGCCACTTTCATCTTCTGAGTCAGAATTGGAATCCATGGCTGAGTTCTTGGAGGGTTGGGGGGGTGCTGCTTTTTTGCTGGCTGCCCCCCTGGTATTTCGTGCTGGGAACTTCATCGCTACCCTGAGAGGTCCCGAGTGTAGGCACTGGCTGCGGGTTCTGCAGCCTACCCGGTCAGACTGCCGCCTCTAGTTAATCAGAGCAATTGAGTCGTTAAGGACTTGGTGATTGGCAAACAAGCTGAGCCAGTGCGACTACAAAATTCCTTTTGAATAAAAGACAGTTTGGCAAATCAATTTCAACAGAACTTTGACAGCCCTGGGTAACCAAATCAAGACTTGCAAATAAATACTGCAATCTGAGTGCAGTGTGACTCCATGCAGCCTGTCTGGGACACCATCTGAGTGAACCACTTTCACAGCCTCTAAGCCTGTGGTTCTGAACCATCTTATAAAATGTGAAAACTCCTGTCCCCTTTTCCATCTCTTTAAAAATACATCTTTATGTATTTAAAAATAATTCCTGAAGGAATGACTGTGTTCCTTTATAAATGTGGTTTCAATGCTCATGGCAATATTAAACTATTTTAAACTGTCTCAATTCCATTTTTTAAAACTTGTGAAATTTACCGCTTTAACATCCTTTTGTGTGTGGGGGGGGAGGGGGGTAGGCACTGGGGTTTGAACTCAGGGCCTCACGCTTGCTAGGCAGGCGCTCTACCACTTGAGCCACTCTGCCACTCCCAGCTTTAACCATTAAGTCTGTGGTTCTGTGGTATTCACCTCATCCACCTTGTTTTTACCTTCTCAAAGTGGACTCCACACCCACTGAATAGCACCCCCACTTCCACCTTCCCCCAGCCCGACACCGTCCTATTTTCTGTCTGTATGAATCTGATTAGTCTAGGTACCTCTCTAAAATACTTTTCCTAAGTTTAAAATAAAAAATTTCTGCGGATCCAAATGCAAATCAGGACAGGATCACAATGAGGTAAGACTTCATACCCATCCATAGAGCTAAAGCAAAGTCAGGAAATAACAAATGTTCTAAGAATTGGGGACACTGGGACCCTCATACGCCTCTGGCAGGAGTGTAAGATGGTGTGCCCACTTTGGAAGTCTGAGAGTTCCTCAAAAAGTCACTCACATGACCAAGCTATTCCACTCCGAGGTGTACACCCAAGTGAATATGGACACTTAAAACCTTGCACAGCTACGTTATTTATAATGGCTAAAAAGTATAAACAACACAACTACTCATCAACTGAGGGATGCTGGGAAAGAAGGGCGAGTGGCTATGAATGCATGCAGTGTTTCTTTTTGGGTTGATGAAAACACTCTAAAATTGAGAAAAAACAAAAAACAGAAGAGGCCGGGCACAGGGGCTCAGCTTATAAAAACTTAGCTACTCTGGAAGAGGCCATTCTCAAAAAATGTCACATCTTATCCAAAATATAACTAAACAAAAAAGGTCTGGGGCGTGGCTCATGTGGTAGAGTACCTGCCAAGCAAATCCTAGTACCACCAAAACCAAAAAATTATTACTCAGAATTCCCAAAAGAGAAGCTCCGCCTCTCCCCTCTTTGACAGTACTGAAATTTGAACTCAGGCCCTGTAGCTCACAAGGCAGGTGGTCCACACTTACTTGAACCATGTCCCCAGCCCTGGAAGATCCATTTTAAACATCCAAAAATTTTTCAATGGGCTGGGGTGTAGTTCAGTGGTATATCATGTGCTTAGCAGGTGAGAGATGCCTTGGGTTCAATCCCCAGCACCAGCAAGTATTTCTTAAAGTACTAAACTGCTTTTAGTTCTTTTCATTTACTTCTAGTGATCATGGATGGAGAGAATACAGAACAATGAAAATTTTGGTGAATTCTTCACACTTTTCAACAAGTTGTACTTTATTAATCACAAGTTGTATCTACAAAGAAGTGAGAATGCCCAGAAATTATTATCAGGCTGTGACAACGGGTCCCCTCTAGATTTGCAGACTGGCTCCAGCAATAAATGCCAATAAGCACCTATTTTGAGCAACAGCACTTGGAGGAACGTCTTCGCAGTGACAACTAGTGCTACAACACTCCTGGGTCAAGCGCTATTGCTCAAGTGCTGTCCCACAGACAGTGGTCAGGTTAGACCATGGTGGGTGAACAGCACATACCCAATTGTGATGAATGCACTGCCTCCTTTGGAGAGAGTTGTAGGTACAAGAAAATGCACAGTATGCTCAGGCAGTGGGGGCAAGGCATAGCAGCGGTGGCCTAAGCAGAGTGACGGGGCCAAAAGGGAAGAGAGCATGCACAGGAAAGCAGAACAGGGAGCAAGCACACACAAGCAGGCAGGGCCCTCCGTGTCACTATCTACCACTCCCTGGGAGCCCTCAGAGGTTCTCAGATGCAGGTACAGAGCTAGCCACGTAAGCCGGCACTTATCAAAGGCCTGCTGTGTGCCAGCAACTGGGCTGGGTACCTGCCGTTAAGTGTGAATGCAGCTAATCGACAGGACACGTGTGCTTCCTGTGATTGGACAGATCTCTATGGGAATGGAAATCTGGAGGCTGGCCAACTTTATGTAACATGTTTTCAGGATTTTCAGAACCTATAAAATGCTTAAAACTTACATGTAGCAAAATCTGCTTTTAAAGACACAAAGAAAATACTCTTTATTCTAAAAAGGTCAACAAAATTTTCTGGCATGACTAACATCAAAATCTTAAGAAAAATATTTTCAAAAACAAAAAACAAAGTATCTCCTGCCTCTAAATGTATCTTACTTCTCGATATTGGTGAAATTCTCAAACTCACCCTTCCATCTTGTATCTCACTCTCTGAGAAACCGCAAAACGATTCATCATCAGAGTCGGCATGAAAAATACTGGCCAGCTCGTTAGTGACATCTGGCCTTGGTTTCTGTAAAAATCCACAATGGTCTAATACATCGTGCACCTCACTTTCTGAAAAGCCGCAGAAAGATTCATTATCAGAGTCCTCATAAAAAACATTTGCCAGTTCTTCACTGATATCTGACCTGAATTTAGGTTTCTGTAAAATAAATAAATAAATGTGGTTGTGCATTTTTTTTCCTTTTTCAAGAACCAATTTTCCATAAACCGTGCAGAGAGCAAATCACATTTACAAGTGCACTACAAGAGAATAGCTTTTGTTACAAAGAAAAATGGTTCAGAGGTTTACAAATGATTTCTGAGTTGTTATGGCAAGTCATCAGGCGTGTTAGGTTAGGCGACATTTCAAAAGGATAGAATAAGTAGCTAATCTACCTCCAACAATTACTACCTAGAACCACAGCAAAAAGTGAAATGAAATTACAGTGCATACTCTTATTTTCCTAACGGCTGTATAGAAATGTAGGCAAAAAGCAAGCGGTTTTAATCACGCACAAAGCATCGGGGGCATTCTGAGCTCTGCAGACTCAATTCTGTTTATTCTCAGGAAGCACTTACCGTGTTTGCAAAATTATCAGAAGCAAAGCTGTCACAACTGTCATCAGAGGATGACGAGGTTTCCATGGAAATCAACTTCATATATCTGAATTTCTGTAAGTTCTTTCCTCTGAGATTTTTTTGCTGCAAATGGAAATGGTAATACTATTAAGTGGATGCTTCCTGTAGTACCTAACTAATGACATCATTTTCTAGTTTAGCACATTTAAACAGCAGAGTAGGTATGTCCATTTCTTATGCCCTACAGAGAAAAAAAAAGATTTTCAAGTGCTAAAAAAAAAAAATCTCCAACAACACAGGTCAAATTCTAAGAAAGGATCCCTTTGGAGAATATTTTAAATACATTTATCAATTTATTCAAAACATCTGCAGAGCTACTTCTCTTCCCACCTTAGGAGCCCCTAAGCTCTTAGCGTTATACTGAGCTCCACAGGAGTTTAATGCTAAACTCCAAAAATCCAACCCTATTTTTTTTAATTGAACTGTACTTGTAAAAGGAAATTTCCAAAGTACAAAATGGCAGAGCAATTTTTCTCCCTCAGCCAAAATCAAGCTAATGAGGCCTTTTTAGGTACGCTTTGGGCTCTGTACTGTGATGCTAATTTCCCAAACTACAAAAATTGGGCAGGACCTCTGCTTCAAGATGGCAGGCTTCCAAGCAGACTCCATTCCAATTGGGAGGCGTATAGTGATTTTGCACAAGTCCTTACAAATCAAATGTATCAACTCAGTAAACATATGGTACAAGAAGCCAAGCTAAAGGTCAAATAGCACTCCAAACCCAGGTGGAATACCTGATTCCATTTTAGTACTCTTATTACCCCAGCCTTCATTCAGCTCTTTCACAGGCTCTTTTTAAGAGGTAAGTCTTCTAGGGCTGGAGGTAAAGCTCAGTGGCAGTGTTTGCCTAATAAGGTTCTGGGTTCAATTTCCAGAAGAAGATACTGTTTCTGAAAAAAAAACTTGACTTACAGGCTGGCAGCGTAGCTAAAGTGGCACCGCGCCTAGCAGGTGCAAGGCCCTCCGTGAGTTCAAACCCCGACACCACCCCCCATGTATGTATAGATATCAACTTCTCTTAGGACAAGAGGACCTCGTTAAGGTCTTCTCATAGGTGGAATTATGTGTCAATTTGAAATGGTTCATTCATTCACAAGCTCTTAACAGCTCTGTACTGTTCATCAGAAAACGCAACTGGTGTCTATCTTGTATAAAAAGGATAGCAATGTCTGCCATTTCTTACATTTAATGTGATTTCTTAAGTGGTCCATTAGGTCCTATTTTTTAACTTTCTTTGAACCATGGAATAGCAGCGGGTCCTAACACTGAAAACTCTGAAAGGGCAAGTTCTGTTACATATCTCACAGAATGAGGCCAAAAGCAAGGTATCAGGTGGACAGAACATGTGACTTTCTTCTTCACCTAACAGTCTGCATTTCAATCTATTGCTTGCAAACAAAAAATTACGTCCAAGACAGTAGCAGCCTAACCTCCTTATGCTCCTAAGTACAAGTCATCAATCACCTCCGAAGTTTGTCTTTTGTCCTTCTAGAAAGGTAGGAAAACGTGGTAACAGGAAGATACAGAACAGAAAGGTTATGCATATGTGGGTAGGATACAATAAATATAAGGACCTGAAAGGGATCTCAGAAGAACCATTTCCCAGATGAGGAAATTCAAGATCCAAGAAAGGTGAAATACTATTGCAGAAGCAAGCAGCTGAAAGGAGGCTTTAATAAGTGTGCAGTCTCCTAAAATCCTCTCATGATGGCTGTTTACTGCTCAATCTAGCTGCAAGCAGTCCAGGGTTGGAGGCCTTCTGCTGGAAGTTATGGGGAAACGCATGCTGAGCTTTAACAAATCAGGACAGGCCAAGAGAAAATGACATAAAAAGCAGCAAATCAAACCAGACTGAACTTCCTTGGTGGCACAGTAACTAGTACCGTTTCTGTTAGGTGTTATGTTAAGTACCCTTTTCCATCATGTTTAACTCTGTACAAAGGTGCTATCGTTATTCTCGTTTAACAAACGAATAAAATGAAGCTCAGGTGACACGGATTCCCAAATTTCAACAGGCGTGTCCGTTTCAACGCCCAGTCCCACCAGGGCGGGGACCGGACTTTGAAAACACGCCTCTCTCATCTTCTTTTTTAACCTATTTTAAGCGCATACCCTCTTCCTTCCCACCCAACCCCCACTCTCCTACCCACCACTGGGCTGGACATTTTGCCTTCCGTTAGAGCAAAAAAAGTAACGTTCCAGTCAGGAGAACTAGCAGCTAAGAGGGGGGTTTGGGATGGGGGGATCGAGTAGTTTTGAACACAGGTCCTGCAAGCTGGGGTCATGTGCCAGAGGCTTCAAATGCACATAATCAACGCCTGCGACTTAAAAACACTCTCCCAAGGTGCAAATCCCAACTTTCAAGAAAATGTGCCAAGACCTTAAACTTCAAATCCGCAGACTCTCAAGAAGTTACCAGTGCAGCAGGGAGCCAGGCGTGGTGCAATTCCCAAGCACTCGGGAGGCTGAGGGCAGGGAGTTCAAGGCCAAACTAGGCTACAATTGGATGCAAGGTCAGCATGGGCAACAAAGCAACTCCCTGCCCCACGCCCCCCGCAAAAAAACCCCAGGGCCGCAGGGGCTAAGCCGGCCAGCGCAAAGGTGCGCGCGTCCCACGTCTGCCCCGCCGCGCGGGTGGAAAGACACGCACCAGCCTGGAGCTGCATGCGCTACAGAGCTGCAGGGTTGCGGGGCGCACTCCAGGGAGCCGCGAGGCTGGGACCCGGCGGCGGGACACAATGGGGGACCGCTAGTCCCCAGGGCTCTGGCGCGCACGTGCGTCTAGGGCGCACGTGCGTCGGGCTCCGCACCATCCTACAAAGCAGCTCACACCTCCATCCACCCGCACGCCAAGTGCGCACGCCCACGGGAACGTCCCTGAGTTACCCTGGACGCACAAATCTGCGACTTGCCCACACGGACGACGCCCAGGACGGCCACCAGTTGATAAGCCGCATTCGACTAGGGAATCGGAGGGAGTTGGCACTAGCCCGCTCGCCCGCCCGTCCGCCCTCCCGCATGCAGCGCCCACTGCGCCCGGCTCTCGGGTTCGCCCGCCCAGCCCTCACCCGCACGCGGCGAGCCTCCATGCTGACAGCCGGCGCTCGGAGAGGGGAAGGCCGAGGAGCGCGCGCCGCGGGCCCGCGAACCAGGAGCAGCGGCAACCGCGCGGCCGGCAGGCGGGGCGCACAGACCCGGCCCGGGGGGGGGGGGGGGGCGGGGCTCCGGCCGGCTTTCCCGCGCTAGGCCACAGGTCCTGCAAGCTGAGTAACAGCCCAACCCGCTCGGGACCCGCTTGGGTCCCCCCAAAAAAAAGCAGACCTGCAGATCCTCTAAGCTTGCTGAACAGCTTCAGTGACACTCAAAATTCGCTTTTAAAAAAAGCGGCGCTTTGGGGACTGCGAGGACCTCTCTATGTAGCTATGCGGTCCTGGGCGAGTGGCGCGAAAGTGGTTCGTATTGCCCCAGGGCTGGTAGGCTGATTTGCATGGAGTCGGGGCTGGGGAGGAGAAGCGGAGATAATGGGGGTGGAGAGCCGCGCTTAGCACTTTGTTGTTGTCTGCGATTTACGTTATTTTAAAAACTAGATAAATGTCCAAGAATCCAGCACGTGCACCACCCTTTAATCGCCGATTTGCCGTCCCTGGGTGTAATACCTCTTATCTGGAGTCGCCCCATTATCTGAAGTAATAAAATGAGCCAAATCCTGATCTCTTCAGAAAGCACGAGAAGTCGACTTGTTTTATCTAAGGCTTGTGATTTTTAAGTGGAAAACAGCCAGTGCAGTTTAGGGGAAACAATCTGTAGGATAAGAAGATCTTTAGAGAGTCTCTGTAGGAGACAGAAGATGCGGACTGTTACGAACGTGACTTGGCGAGAATTTGGAATTGCCCCAGTTAGAATGAAGGAAGAAATTTTTTTCACCACCTTACTAAGCAAACCTGGCATGAGAATGTCATAAGATGTGATGCTTTGTTGTAAAGAGCAAAAAATTTGCTTAAAAAAACAAGAAATTGGTTGCTTCGAGACCTTGGTTATAATCTTACACTTAAAACCAAGAGCATGAAGTGAAAACATTCACCTTAAAACCCGATTTCAAAACTTTTCTCTGGGTAATAATTCCTTAACAGTGGAGAAAGCAGATGTGGACACAGGCGTTCTTCGGGATTCATTGACTTTAAAAACTCGTAAGAATGCAGGAGAACAGTGGGTTGGTTGGAAGGAGTGTTGCAGTTTTTCTGCAGCCCAGTGGTCACTCCACCACCGTGCAAGAGACAAAGAACTCAGGATCCCTAAGGTAGGCGCTAGGAAGAGAGACTATTGGTCTGTCTATGAAATTACTGGTAGTAGCAGGACCCTCAATAAATATTTGCTGGATGAATAAACAGCTAAGTGAATGATGAACTAAAAGTATTTGTAGTGCAATCTCCTTAGGAACAGTTTTGAGCCACTAAAGCTGAATGTATGAGCATCTGTAATTGCCAGTCACAAGAAAGAGGGACAGGAAGATTAAGTCACCTTGCCTGGAAAGGTACAGACAAGAAAATTCTTAGTCCTTCTGGGCAGTACAAAATTGTTTTACATGATTTTTTTGTTGTTGTTTTTTAAGGAGAAGATCTCTGGGTGTTTTTGTTTATTTTACAAAGAGTGATAGTCTTTTGAGTAAGCTTGAAAATGCAAATTAAAACAAGGTTTGCTCGGACTAACAAAACTTAAAAACCTAGGTAGACCAAGTGTTGATAAGAATAGGAGTAATTCCCACAATAACAAAAAATGTTAATAGTGTAAATTGTTTACATTAGAAAGCAATTCAGGAGCTTGAGGAATGCCTGCCTAGCAAGTGTGAGGTCCCGAGTTCAAAACCCATGCCACCAAAAAAAAAAAAAAAAAGAAAGAAAGCAATTCAGGACTAATTAGTAAAACCCAGCAAAACTACTGCAAGATCTATAACGAGGATGGATTTTTAACACTGCATGTTCAAACCTATTGTTATGAAATCTGTTCAGGGTTTGCAGCTAGCATATTTTCTTCTATCGTGTGTGTGTGTGTGTGTGTGTGTGTGTGTGTGTGTGTGTGTCGTTGTAAATTTATTTTATTGTGGTTGGTGAAAACATTTACCATAAGATGTCCCCTCTTAAGGAATTTGGAAGTATTCCATGCAGTATTGTTGACTATGGATAAGTGTTGAATAGCAGACCTTCCCACCTCTCTATCCCTCCAGCTCCTGCCAAGCACTCTGATTCTAGGAATTTGACTATTTCTAATATCTCATATAAGTAGAACTGCAGTATTTATCTTTTTGTGCTGCTGTTTTTCTTTTTCAGTGAAGTGGAATACAAAGTATGCGTATCATTTCCTGAAACTTTCACTTATGTGCTGTGCTTCTGGGCTTCATCTTCAAGGGTACTAACCCAGAGAACATGGATAACATAACCAGGTTCTACTGATGTCTTATATTTTTCATTCAGTCATGAACTGTTGAAGGACTAGTACACCTGGCACTGTTCTGAGTACTGGAAATACAAAGTGCAGAGAGTTGGAGGAGCCGAAATAAAGATAGTTTCAGGTGTTATAACTTCTGAGAAAAGTAAAAGCAAAGTGAAAAATAGCAGTAAGGTAAGGAACTAGGAAAGAGGTACTCATGTAGACAAGTTAGATAACTAATTTAAATAAAAGAAGCACTTGAGGTGTGGCTCAAGTGGTAGAGCACAAGCATGAAGCCCTGATTTCAAGCCCCAGCCCCACCAAAAAAAAAAAAGTTTGCACCTAAGAGAAAGCAGGAAAGCTGTAAGGAAATGATATCTGATCAGGTATCTGAACAAAGTCAGGGAGTAAGCCACAGGAAGAAGAAAATACTGGTTTCAGGCAGAGTGGCAACTGATTCAAACGTTCCATAGCACAGCAGGGAGTCCCTACTGTGGGCTAGGAAGGGAAGAGCAAGAGAGGGAGAGAAGGGAGATCTTTAGGGAGGCTTCCTGGCTTTGGGAAGAGTTCTGCATTAATTCCAGGTATAATGGGAAGACCATGAAGGACTGTGATGAAAGAAAAGGGCTAACCTCACCTAACAGACTGTGGACTGTAGACTGAAGGGTACTGGGAGATTTACGATACACGTCTGCTTGGATGGAGGTGGTTGTGGGGTGGAGATAAGTGGCCAGGTTTAAAGGGTTTTGGTGTGTTTGGGGTTTTTTTTTCTGGTGGTACTGGAATTTGACTCAGGATTTAACACATGCTAAGCAGGTGTAAGGTAAATTATTTTGCAATTGGAGCTAATTGGACCTGGGGAGTGGATGGTTCATTCTTCTTAGCATTGTGCATCAAAGCAAACTATTACATGCAACCTAAATGCCCCCCTGTGTTTGAAGTTTTCCATCGCTATGTTGTCATAGTGATGACGACACTGTGTATGTCATAACAACATACCTGACATAAACAATGTAAGGGAGGAAAGACTTATTGTGGCTCAACATGGTCTCTCAGAGTTCAGTCCATCATGGCAGGGATGGCCTGCCAGAACCCAGAAGCTCACAGCATGGCAGCCAGGAAGCAGTAGAGGAATATGTTAGCTGGCTTCCTCCTTTGTCCCCTTTTATTCCATCTGGGCTCCCACCTGTGGGATGGTACCTCCACATTTAGGGCAGGTCTTCCCTCCTTATAATGGACATACCCAGAGGCATGCTTGGCTAATCGCCTTGGCATCTCTCATCTAATGGATACCAAAATTAACCAAAAGGGAAATGGATATATGAACAGTAGTATTGTAAGAGGTGCTTAACCTGCTTTTGCCAAAAAGCACCAACTCCTTACTTGAGCCCACAAATGAACTAAAAACAGAAAGAAAGCCTGGCATCTCCATCTCCATTTTGTACTTGTTGTTCTTTTACTCTGAGCTGTTCTTCCCTGCAGCAACCTTGGAATCAAGGAAGGACAGGAATGGTCGATAACATCTTTATGACAAGAAACTGAAACTACCCCTAAGGAACAAGAGAGCCTTGTAGGACAGACCACCCCTAAAATGAGGACAATTACCCATAATGATGAAGCTGCACCCTGGAGCAGGAGTAATCATGTCTTGGGAACCAGATAGCTCCCCTTAAGTGATGACAGTGATAACAACTTCTCTGGAACCCTAAAAGAACAAGTACTGAGATAATGGTCAACCAGACCCCCACAGATCTACTGGAGCATACCTGTGGCTGGGACAGTTGAACTATTTTCCTAATCTTTGTCTATTTAAATCTGAAGCCCACGTCCATACGCTGAAGACGCACTGAAGTGCTTACTTTGCCTCTTCCCGTGATGTGTCCCCAGCTGTGGAATAAATCTCCTTTCCCTGTTCTTCACCATGTCTCTTTATTTGGCGTGTTAGAGTGAGTGGCCGGACCCGACATGTGGAAGCCCAGGAGTTTGGGCCTGGGGTCCAAAAGGGACCCCAGTTTACATAGGTTCATCTTATAACATGCAATGGAATTTCAACAGTAGGTCAAATGAATGGCATGGCTTACTCACATGAATATACATAGATCCTAACAATGTAGAATGACAAAGCAAATTGTGAACATCTATAAAGGATATCCTATGTGCACATTTTACAAACAAATACTAAGTTGTGAAAATGTAAAAACATCCATGAGCAGGATAGAGTAAGGGTTGACTAAGGAGGGAAAGAGAGAAAAGTATATCATGATGCTCTCTTTAAAAATAAAAATAGGAACCAAATATGGCAGACTGGCAAACATGGGAAATAAAGCTGTGTGAATATCGTTTATATTTTAGGTTCTGTAGGGTTTTTGTGTCTGAAATATTTCATAATTATTTAGTCTTACAGACAGATATAGATTTGTAGTGTTAAATATGCATTTCTTTACAGGGCCTAATAAGTGGGAATGCAAGTTGGTCTTAATTTTAGTCACCTCATAAAGGTTTTAAGTCGCCATTTGAGTCACACAGTGCTATGTATTTACATTTTGAATGAAAGACTATGCATGGAAAAACAGGAAATATGAGGGCACTGGCCACAGCAGATAAACAGGAATGGCATTTCATAAGCCCATGCCTGCTTCATACAGACAGCATCTGATAAGGGCTG